AAATGGCCGGAAAATGATCAAAGGTGTGTGGGTGCAACATTTTGAAACCACGGGAACTTTATAAATAAATTTTGAAAACAGAGAAGGTATTGGTGCCAATTTTCCAAACCATAGGGGGCACAAAAGCTATTTGGCCCCATAACTATAGAAGTGTCTTTTACATATTTATAGTATAGGCTAAATAGGATATATTCTCTGGGGATGTCATTGCAATGGTGATGAGTTCTTAGATTATTGAAGGTCATTTAGATTATATTATCGAGTACATTGATGTTGTTGGGAAAATCACCTCAATTTTCTAGCGGAAGCAATTAATAATTTTCTCGTCTTTGTATTGTCAAAATGGGCAAAATCATATGACCAATCAAGAATAGCAAACACAACAACAAATAGAAATCATCCTAAATAGGACTAAAACATAGATAAAAGTACTAAAATAGGACTTTCATATTTTTTCCGGAATAGAACTTTGCACTGTTGTAATGTGACCTTGCATTGTGGTAATGTGGCAGTGTACATGTGCAAATTACTATTTTGGAAATAAAAACATGGAATTCTTATTTTAGTATATTTTCAAAGTTTTAGTCCTACTTTGGTCTTTCTCCCCAAATGTAAACAATCAATCAAGCGATAAACGAACACCAATATTTAACGTGGAAACCCCAAATCGAGGAGAAAACCACGAAATCTTCCACTAATCATCAAGAAAAATCAGTGGGTATACCAAGAATCCTCTCTAAATCAATTAGAGGTATACACAATCATCAAACAACAACTTGGAACACCAAACAACGATAATCTTCATTAAATAGTGAGAAATTCCCAATTAAAACATAGCAGCAAACAGAGGCAGTTTTACCGACATCGAGAGATCGAAACAACAATCTCACCGTTGGATATGAAGAAGAGGATCTCAGGAACAACATACTAAAATTGCATCCTGATCGGAGTTGGTCATCAATCAGAGCACAAAACCAGCTGCACCTCTCTTTTTCTCTCTTCTTCATTCTCTCCGCTCTCACCCCATTTCTTCTCTGTTTTTGCTGCTGTTTTTCTGGCGTGAGAGGCCAAAACAAAGGCTAAGCCTTTTCTAAATAATGGCACCAATAATAAGTAAGTGGTAGCCCCCACCACTCACACTTTTCCTTTATTATAATAATAATAATATTTAGTATTATTATTATAGCAACCAACTCTAAACCAATTACATTTTTAACACCAAATGTATAGTTTAGAATATTCTTCCTCCATGTATGAGGGATACCCTAACAAATCTCCCCCTCACTCTTAAATGGGGGGTAAAACTCAATGATGAAAAAAATCTCACACAAATCTTTCACAACCAACTGCACCAAATCCGTACTTTCCGTAGGTTGTGAGCAACACTTTTTTCTCTTCAACTTGAACACCCGATTGCTCTTGGGTGCTTGCTTGCTTCCATGCAACTTTACCAGGGAATGACCGCGATCATCAAGCAAGGATATAACCCCATCTTGCTTGGCTTGAAACCGTTCTCATCGGTGCACCTTCTTCACTTATTCCTGGTAGCAATTTCCAAGTACCTTCTTCTTTATCGTTTGACATCTCCTTATTCAAGATCGATTCATGCAAATCCTTAATATATAAAATATCTTTCATCATGGGTTTCCAACTTTGATAATTGGAGGAAGTCAATTTAAGCATTCCCCCAAAACAACTTTATCCTCTATTTTAACAACACAAGAAAATCACCCAAAAATATCAAGACAAGCTCTGATACCAATTGTTGAGAAAATCACCTCAATTTTCTAGCGAAAGCAATTAATAATTTTCCCGTCTTTGTGTTGTCAAAATGAGCAAAATCATATGACCAATCAAGAATAGCAAACACAACAACAAGCAATCAATCAAGCGATAAACGAACACCAAGATTTAACGTGGAAATCCCAAATCCTGGAGAACCTGGAACACCAAACAACGATAATCTTCACTAAAAAGTGAGAAATTCCAATCCCAATAAAAACGTAGCAGCAAACAGAGGTAGTTTTACCGACATCGAGAAGTCGAAACAACAATCCCACTGTTGGATATGAAGAAGAGGATCTTAGGAACAACATACTAAAATTTCATCCCGATCGGAGCTCGTTTGGTCATTGATCGGAGCACAAAAACAGCTGCACCTCTCTTTTTCTCTATTCTTCCTTCTATCGGCTCTCACCCGATTTCTTCTCTGTTTTTGCTGTTGTTTTTCTACCGTGAGAGGCCAAAACAAAGGCTAACTCAAGCTAAGCCTTTTCTAAATAATGGCACCAATAATAAGTAAGTGGTAGCCCCCACCACTCACACTTTTCCTTTTTAATAATAATAATAATATTTATTACGGAGCATTATTATTATAGCAACCAACTCTAAATCAATCAATCCGTATATTTTTAACACCAAATATATAATTTAAGAACAACTTTGTCCATGTAGAAGGGATACTCTAAGAGATGCATGCATGACAAGGTTGGCCATGACTGCGTGCATGCTCCGCGCACTTCGGAGTTAATTAATAAATTAGTTGATGCGGTTAATACACACATTTTGTGTGATTGGGCCAAACTATATTTGTATTTATAGAAACTCTTTAATTTGGTGGTTGGGAAATCTTCCCACCCTATCCTTTAATTTGGTTGACTCGCAAATACAAATCTTATTTTCAATTAGTTTTGTATCCGGACAAGTATTCATATTTGAAAATTTTAAACAAACACTGATTTAAATATCTCGATATTCGATTCGATTGATTTACAAATGCTACTACTAGAAAACAAGAGGATCAAGAAAACAACTTGTAGGACTTGGATTGGATAACGATGAGCCTCAGTGCTCCGATTGGTGCCAATATTGTTAGCAGAACCCCCAGTATGATGCACAACTGCAAATGAATTTAATTAGTTAAAGTACTGTATAAGCTAGTTAAGTGTGCATGCATGCATATATGTATATGCATCAACTTAGATATAATTACCCAATTGACGGTCCAAGACAGGCTGAATCTCTTTGGCTTGAAAATAATGAGCCACATGACACATGGAATCTATAATAATATCAATAATATGGAAAGGATTGATTATATATTAGTGCAAAAATAGATCATGCATGAGACCATAATAGTAGTGATATATGTCAACTAGTATGTATATATATATACTTACAAAGTATGTGGTGGGAGCAAAAGCAAAGCCGCCGAAGAAACTGAGGAGCCCGCCGAAGAATGGGAACGTCATCCCTATCAACATTGTCACCCCTGCAGCATCATCCAAACAATAAACTAAACTAAACTAAACTAAGATGACATATTTAATTTTTATAAATTTAACACATAATCATCATATCTTATCACTTTCCATCACACTCATCATAACATACACTTTTCATTATTTCACATCATATATCTTTACATCCATCAAACTTCATCAAACTTTCCGTCTAGCCCGACATAATTATAACACATGCATGGTCTAAAAAAAAGTGATTTTTTACGAGTATTATTTGTTTCCCAGATGGATGAAGCATGGAGTAATTAATTACGCTTCCAGTCTTTATTTCAATTTTTAATGAACTTGCCAAGCTAGAAAATGTAACGTATCTACTCGATAACAAGCAATTATTTAGGGATCGAGTAATTAATAATGCTTTTGCTTATACTATACTCGGTATATTATATACTCTCTAGCTTCTTCCAGATTTATTTGAGAACTATTTTTAGTTGTTCTTCTTACTTAATAATGCAAATGTCATATACAATACAACATTATTTTGATAAATTTTTAAAAATATCATAACCGTAGTCTGGACATTATTATTACGGACTATTAACTCTTTTTTGAAGGAATGGTTTTTGGACATTTGTAAACTCATTTGTTGAAAAGGAGATTTTCGAGAAACCAAACTCACCTCCGTATGGTGAAAAAGAGCTTTTCGACATACATATGTTGAGTATATCCATATAGAGTAAAATATTACCTCTTCATAATTTAAAAAAATACTCCGTATTTAGTATTTTGACTTTTTTGTTAATCTTTTTAAACTTTGATCATATTATAAAAAATATACGGAGTATTATTTTCAATTACCATATTAATTTAATATCTTTAGATTCATTCTGAAATATTTCGTATAATTTTAAAATATTACTTCCTCCATCTTAAAATTAATTTTTCAATTTGACTTTTATGGTCAAACTTTTAAAACTTTGACCGCATATCACAAAAAAAATACATTGGACTTTCATATAATTAGTTTCAAGATTAAGTTTGAAACAAAGTTTTCAAATACTTTAGTTTATAATACGGAGTATATATTTATATGTAAATAGAGATATTAATAATCAAAGTGTTACATTGAAGACTTTGAAAAATCAAATGAGAAGTTAATTTTAAGACGGAGAAAGTATATTGTTAATAATACTCCTATATGTTTATAGGGAGTATATAAATTTAAATATTAGTAGTCTAAATATTACATCAGAAACGGTCAAAAATCAAATGGGAAAGAAATTTATGAAAGAACGCACTAAATATTATTGTAGTGGAAGTAAAATTTTGCATAAGAACAATAACCCACGTACCAACATAGATATAGCGGGTGGTGTATCGGAGACGCCGACTCGGCTTGAACTTCATTGTCTTCACCAAATATGTTTCCAGCATATCAAAAACCGGCACGGCAAACACCTGTTGATCCAATGCATGCACATATTTATACACTTTCTTGATCTCAAAATTATAGTCCACTTTTATAATCTTTAGCTCTAACCACAAAGCCATGCATGTCATGTGTGTGTACTTAATGAATAGTAATTAATTAAATTGTGTGTCTATGCATATTCTTTCAATTCCATACTAACTATATATTCATTAAAAATTTCTTGATGCCCGCATGGGCAGCTCAGTTGGTCAAGAGCGTGAAATCTTGGACCGATGACCAGGGATCGAGTCCCGCAAGCGGCAGTGTGGGAACTATCCAAAAATCCCATAAAGGGTGAGGAGGCTCCTTGTGCGCGGTGGGCACGGGTATAGCGTTCTTGGCCGACTGAGTCACCATGATTTACTTCCTCCACCATTCCTGTCGGGCAAGGGGGTGGGGGCGCCTGGGGTGGGCGATTCCACCTTTTGGACCGATTAAAAATTTCTTGATACATTGAAGAAATGAATGAATGTAGACATGTACTCTATCTAAAGCGATCATTGTTTTTTTCAATGTAGCCATAAAGTGACAATGGTGAGAGTTAATATGGAATGAGGGGATCGGAGTACCTGATAAGAACCGACGACGTGGATGAAGACAAAGATGTTGGCGATGGCGATGAGCCATCGGGGCTTCTCGAGGGATATGAGGATGTTGTCTTGGACGGAGTTACCGAAGACATAGTAGCCAACGATGGAGACGGGGAAGTAGCAGAGGGCGACGATGATGTAGGCAAAGGTAGAGCCCTTCAGCATGGGACCCTTGGACGGCTTCTCCGGCGTGGACTTGATGGTGGCTTGGATCTCCAGCACCACGCTGTGGGCTGCGTACGCGAATGCCACGTCTCCCAGAGCCGCCATGAACCCGAACGCCCTCCCCGTCCCCGTGGATGCTACCGGCTGGTAACTCGCGTCGGGCTGGACCCCCTTCTTCGCAGATGCCACCCATGCGATCGTTGAGTAACTACATATACATGCATATAGGAGAATTTACTTAAATAACACTATCATCATATATTGAACTAAAAGAGATGGAGGAGAGTAAGATCTAGACAGGCCTGAGGGACATGATGGCGGCAATGATAGAGACGCCGGCAATGTCGTTGAAGCTGGGGATGTGGGAGAGGAGGAGCTGGACGGCGCCGAAGATCATGATGAAGTAGGTGGTGCGAATGGGCTTGCCGCCGGCGGGCTGCGGCGCCCAGACCGAGGTGTAGAACTTCTGGAGGGACTTGCCCCCGGTGACCATGTAGACGATGTTGGTCCCGACCTGGACCATCAGCTGCTGGGGGACCACGATCCACAGGCCCAGCCTCTCGCCGAACGCGTACTGCCCCAGCTCGTGATACCGGTTGAACCTCCTCCCCGGAATCGCCTCGTGCATTTCCACCATTTGCCACAGCGTGAAGAACGTTATGATCCACGACAACACCAGTATTGTTGTCCCCGGTCCCCTGAAACCATCATCATACATACGCAATTAATTTAGATCTGTCTCTAGAGAATGTCACTGTAGGTGTACGTAGTGATAATCAATTAAATTGATGCGATCCAAAACCCCTATTTTTTATACGGATTATAATGTTGATGTATGAGATCTATATATGAAATCGCGGGTCATAAGAAAAGGAATGTATGGAGATAGAATACCAGCCGAGTTGAGCCATGGCGTAAGGGAGGCCGAGGACGCCGGCGCCGACCAGAGCGGTGACGTTGTGGAAGACGGAGAAGAGCCAATTGCCATTGCGGGAACCGGTGACGGCGAACCACTCGTTGAGCTTAGCCTCCTTCTGCTCCGCAGTCATCTGATCATGATCATCATCTGCTGCGGCCTCCGAATCTGTTGGTCTTACTCCCACTACTGATGACGATGATGAATTCATGTTCGTTATTGGGCCGATCCGGTGGTGATGGTGATGGAGATGATGATGATTTGTATGTGCGGGCACTAGCGGCGTTCCCCTGCCTACCAGCAGTTACCTCGTACGGTACGATCGCTTCTGTCTAACCAATCTTAAACACTGCCGAGTTGTGTTCTATCCATAATTCTACTAATAATCAATCACTCCCTCCTCCCCCTCTTCTATAATGGGCCATTTTTTGAGGGATAGTGTAAACCAAAGTTAAAAAATATTTCCTCCATTTTATAAAAAAGTTCCCATTTTAACATTAAATTACTAGTCAAACAGTTACATACTTTGACCATAAATTAAATATAATCTAAATAAATAAATGCTAAAAAAATTGAGATATCAAAACTAGATCATAAGATTAATCCAATTATATTAAATTTATTTTATAATTCAATATACTTTTCTCACAATTTGTAGTCAAAGCGTGTAAATATTTGACTAATTACTATTCAAAATGAGAACTTTTTTGTGGTAAGGAGAGAGTACTATAGTGCATTAAACAATTCCCAATTTGTATATATACAGGATAGTGTAAACCAAATGCTAAAATAATTATTTCAATATTTAGTTTTATATAATACTAAAAATATTATTAATAGATTGGTTACATTATACACATCACAAATGTGATTATAATTAAACAAAAAATTAAACATATAAATAAGGGAGGGATAATTTTGTATTGATTCTCCAAAAATACCTTAATATGATTGGTAAAAGTGGGATATGATGTGCAGATTATTAAAAAAAATGTATGATGTGATAGGTAGATTACGAAAAAGTAAGGGATAATAGTGATTTTTTAATAAAATGAGAAGAATTTTTAAAGATATCATTTTTTGAAATGTGAAGGACTTTTTAGGATGGATGGAGTACAAAAATATATTATATTGTAATATAATTAATAACATTCCAAAAAATGTTGTCTAATGTGACAAAAATGTTTATATTTTGGGCATGGTTAATAATTTTATGATGTATGATATGAATTTTAAAATTCGAATTTTTTTTTTATGAGTTTTGAAATGTAAAATTAAATTATTTATATTAATTTAGGATTATGATTTCATGAGTAATTGGCAAAAAGAACGGCAACGAGGTGTTTGACAATTACCATTACACCGTTGCCCATCTCTTTTTTATTACTCCGTACTATGAATTTTTTAAATCTCAAATCAAACAAAAATTAATACTTTTTATATTTTTATATCAATCAATTAAAATAATTTACATTCTATTATTCTTCTTTTATACTTACCATAACCAACATTTTTAAACTATACTCACCCCGTCCCAAAATAAAATTCACAATTTGACTTAATACAAAATTAAAAGAAAGTGAAAATATGTGTTTGAAAGTGATATAAAAAAAGAGAGAAAATTTTTGAGTCACTCAAACTTTTCAATATCGGAGCAATAGTTTCTCCCTCTCCAGAGAAACTTAGAATATGCTTAACAACCACCACGATTCTGACGAGCGTGCCTAAAAGCTGACATTCCTTATCTTTCTTTTTCTCTCCAAAAAATTATGAACATGCATGAGAACTGCACCTCTTAAATAATCACGTGCGCGATCGAGAACTAGAAAACCACATTTGTCTTTGTTTCTTCTAGAGCTCGAAAATACGTAAGGTAACCAAGAGGCAGAGAGCGGCCTAAAAGGAGAAAAACAAATAAACTTCTTATCCGCACTCCAATCCCGCCCCAACAATCTCCTGGCCTTGAGAAAAAGTCAGCAAACATTTTCTCAAGTTCATTATTCATAATGCGGCGAGAATTTTTCTCTCTTCTTCTAGCGGCTATCCTCCCAAAACTGCTTCCGTCAACTCCATTTTAGTATATGTGTTCCTAACTGCTTCTCGTTATCGATGATTAGCTCGTAGAGGGATATATATATATATATATATATATATATATATCATTTGCACAATCAATGCAAAGACTTTCGTAGTTAGTTTCTTTCGAGATTGATCAATATTTTTTTGTTGGATAAAGTTATTTGTACCCCAAGTTTTTGTACCTCACTTTGTACCCCGCAGGTTTGCACCAACACTTTGTGTCTGTATAAATTTTTGTTTATGCACCTACACTTGTGTCATTGTAAATCATCAAAATGTTTATGTATAACTATAGTGTATAATTGGGGTACAATTTATGGTGTAAGTGTAGGATGATTGTTTTTTGTTTGTATTTTCTAAGTACAAAAAGTGTGTGGATATCGTGGACATAGCAATACCTAATCCATCCCAAATCTGTTGCCAATCACGTTCACAGTACTAGATTACTAGGATATGCTCTCTTTAATGGGGGGCATCCAACATTCATGTACTTGAATCCCTCCCAGATATATTGCCTGCAGATTTTTGATGGTTTAAACCAAAATCTTGTGTCTTGGATAGGAAGCAAATATTAATGCATTAATTGCGCAAATGATATATAACGGCCATGGCCGCTCGTTCGCTGAATTGCGACCCAAGTGGTGCTCAGATTCCCTTCTCGCGTCATCCAAACCGCTTACCCCACCAAGTCAACGGCCAGAGGCCTCGCATCCTCTGTCGGCGGCTGCGCCCGCCCCCTCCTACCTCGTCCGCCGCCGGAAACAGAGGAAGAGCTGCTTTTGTGATGGACACCCATTTCGAGGGATCTGGTTTCACAAAGATCAGTCATGGGGAGAAGTCGACCGCACCAGGACGCGCTGGCAAGATACCTAGACCTAATGCCGTCATCCTCGGGGAGTCACCTGCATCTGAAGACTATGATCTTGTCTTCCCTAACGATGATTTCTCCCGACAGGCCCATGTCTCTTCTCACCAACAGGTAGTAGATTCAGTTTTACTTGAGCTGATTTTTGCAAAATGAGCTTTTCTGATGTCGGCTTACCATATTTTTAAATCTTAACAATAGTATATGGAGATGTATCGAAAGTCTGTAGAGGACCCCGCCGGATTCTGGGCTGACATTGCATCTCAGTTCTATTGGAAGGATAAATGGGACCCGCAGTTCTGTTTGAAGGAAAATCTTGACATAGGCAAGGGGAGAATTCAGATTGAGGTGCTCACTCCTGCTCTATGGCTGCCTGCTTCTAATACTCATAGATTAGAAAGAAAAATGAAAAGATTTCCCCCTCACAATCTCTTTTTTGCCACCAGTGGTTCAAAGGTGGGATCACCAATATCTGTTACAATTGCTTGGATAGAAACATAGAATCTGGAAATGGTGACAAAGTTGCAATTTACTGGGAAGGAAATGAGCCTGGGGTTGATGCAGCTCTAACATACAACCAACTTCTTGCAAGAGTTTGCCAGGTTAGTAGCTTTCACAATTTTGATTGCATGTTTTTTTAAACTGCAAACAATACCACTTTTTGTTCTTGTCTTCAGCTTGCAAATTACTTGAAAGATATTGGTGTTCACAAGGGCG